TACTGTGAAGTCACTAAAACTTCAGCTGCATATATAGATAACACTTTGTTGCGTAAACCATAAAATTAAGTATACGTACCAATCGTTTCAGTCTGTACTTGTCACGTCCATCTCACCATCTTCGTTCTGATGACCAAACACACACAAACAGACGTTTATTCGCAACCACTTAATTTAGAGATATGATGTCAAACGAAAAATGTCGTATATGTGGGAAGAGAGCCGTAATATGCATTCATTATCCATCGGCCGCGATATAGCCCCCTTCAACATACGAACGCGGATACACGGTGACCAGTAGATTTTTCTGTTGTGAACTGGATTGGTATTGACAAGGGTTTTTTCATGTCCATAATTACTTTGATAAATTGTATACCGTTTTTTTTTTATCACGACAAAAACTACCATAACTTTCTCACAATCGGGGACGTTGATCATTAATATACATGTAATAATAATATGTCTATATGCCGACGTGTGTACGCAACCGCACGTAATGACTGTCAGTTGATATATGCACAATGTATAGCTATCGAACAAATTCAATGATAAATTACTCGCTGTTGTAAACAGATCGATATTATGTCATTCAGGCGCTGTATATATGCCGTGGAATTACCGGACTTCACACATAATGCATATAAAGTCCAGGTTAGAGACCGACTCCTGTTTTGTTGCTACGAGGATGACGTTCGCGTCGTCTCGGTTTGTTCCAGTAGCTAAGAATTCTACTTTGACCGTTTGCAAAAACGTGAATGCGTGAATGTCTTCGTCACCTGTTAAAACGGACATAATCATAATAATTTGAACGCAAAAATGTTTGCTGTGTCTACCCGTATTCTTCGCGTTTTCTTGTTTTTTATTTTTATCACTTCCGTTGCCACAAATCAGGATCTATTGCCGGGCATGTCAGACACAGAATTAAGAAGAAATCTGAAATTGGCACCATCTAATACGCTGGTAAGACGGAGCACAGAGAGCGACTTGGGGCCGTGGGTATGGCCCTTTACAGAAGAACAGAAAAACGCAATGGTCGATGCGCATAATGATTTGAGAAGGATTGTAGAACCAGGGGCATCAGATATGATGAAAATGGTGAGATATTTTTTTTGTATTTTATACTCTAACCACGTGAAAGCGTTACTATTTAGTATATATGACGTCATCAAGCACGTGTTTATTACCCCATATCACAACTGATATCGTAATATAATGCAAGAATAACTCGAGTCAGTTGTTTTTAGGCCAGGAACAAAAATTCTCTGTTTCTTGTTTCATGGAAATTTTAAAATGAGGCGGCGAGGCGATTTTTTTTTTTTGAGAATACTGAGCTAAAATGGGAGAAATTTGAGACAAGTGCGAGTACAAGCGCATTTTGGAATGCTTTAGAAGAAAAAAAACGTTCGGAAACGAGAAACAGCGATATTAACTATCTTTAAGTTCCTCCATGTCTGTACCTTTCCAACTCAACCAGGTTATTACGCCACCTCCATTTACTATCGAACTTACAGGAATTGAGAAAACAAATATGCTCAAGTTATACACACGTTTATCCTATCACGATTTTTGATCACCCGTTGAGTCTCGAGATGTCTGAAATCCAGTTAGATAGACATGTCACCCCGGCTTATTGGGAGGTAATAATGATATACTGGAGTTTACATGTATGTACGCGATCGTGGAATGTGATCATCCCGCAGACAGTTACGTACTTATTATTATGACATTATCATTGTTGTTTGAGTCGATAATAATGTGACCTTTATCTTTATCTTATCGGGTATTTTTATAATTAATACATACTGCTGGTGTAATGCGCCGCACGTTTGTAGTGTGCCATAGCAACGTAAAGCAAAACAATAACAACAACGTTAGTAAAAACAATAGACTTGAATTGCCGATCTGATTTCCCAACTACAGTTAAAAGTCGAATAAACAGCTGTATAGAAGGTATGATTTTTGTTCGGGTATACAAACAGTTCGGTTATGTAAACTTAGGGGCGGGACATTCATGCTCTCGTTGACAAACCACAAAATACAATTTGCACATACAAAAAAATGTCAGGAGAGACAACAGCGATACTCAATGTCCAAAACTGTCGCCTGGCACAAAAAATATTTAAAAAAAAAAACCCACAAAATACAATGACTGTACACCGTATTTGTTGGATTATATTTACTGACTGAATAAGTTACAGTAATGCCAAGGAACTGTGCCACGCATGCGCGAGATATATGGGTCTCATATAAACAAAGATGGTGACTTTGACTGTTGACATATATTATGCGTTGTCAATTAAAATGTAAACAGTGTCTTGCGCTATGCTGACGTTGTAAAAAATAAATAAAATAATCATCTGTTTATTTGCGTTGCTTTATTTCTCTTTATATTCTATAGAGAACTGCTTAAAGTGGGGGGGGGGGGTCGTCACCTGGGCATGCGTCAGATGGTCATAGCGTGTCATTGTTTACAAACAAGCGTCTACCATGAGCCTTTGCGTTTTTAGCGTGTGTTGTTATCGTCGATTGGGACTGAATTCCCTCGCGTGCGCAAGTGACGAGCCTCCCGCTTTAAATTGTCTGATAACGACACTGAATTGCCTTTTTGTAGATCGCGCCGTAATAAAAGCTGTGTTGATTCGCAGTCGGGTTGTATTTCCAGCCATAACAAACATGCTGGTAATATGTCGAACTGCTTCACTATCCTCCTTCTCGATTTCTTCTGTCACGGATTGCTGACGGAATTAATGATTTCGTCATCACCAACCACTCAAGTTGAAATCAGAGTTGTTCATCCATTCAAAGGCGGCATCGCGGTCTTCTGAATGTCTTGAATGCCAGATTCGTCAGCGGAATCAGCAGCAGTCACGGTGTCATTATTTTCGAAATCCTCCAGATTTACCTTTTATGGCATGCATTTTTCAGTGATAACTCGGAAATTTCAGTCCATGCCCCCCCCCAAATCAGGTAACATTCGTCTTTCCAAGTTTACAGATTTGACACAGTATGCTAGTGTTTTGACAGTCTCGGCGTCGGCATTTTTTAGTGATCACTTTTTAGTCCGAAAACGGGGACTTATGGATTGACAGAGGTGCGTATAAATCTTAGACATGCCAGGACCCATTACTTTCAAACTCCACACTTACTTCTTACATAATATTTTACATATACACATCAAATTGTGTCACGGTCTGTTTCGAAAAGGCCGAATAGCGGCCATTTCCGTACTGAAAATCAAGCAAGCAAGAAACATCGAAATCAAGCATTTCTCGACTGTTTATTGATGGATTTTGTTCAAACTTGGTACATACATTGAACATTATGAGTCCTTGATGCACGTCATGTTGTTTTTCAGATCAGATTCAAAATGGCCGACGAGCAGCTATTTTGTTTTAATGAATGTAATTCTAGTGCCATATCTCTGACATGCTTTGACTGATTATGTTAAAATTGTAATTCTTCATTATACATCATCTCACAGAGATAATGGTTTGACGATCTGTTTTCCAAATGGTCGAATTGTGGTCATTTTTGTGCTTGAAAATCACCAACAATCAAGCATTTCTGGCATTCCGGAACCGGGTCTTGGTCGTTTATGGGTGGATTTCGTTCAAACTTAGTACATACATTATACATTATGGGTACCTGGTACACGTCATTTTGTTTTCAACATCGGAAAATGGCTGACTGGTGACCATTTGGTTTTAATGAATGGTGTTCCAGAGCCACATCTCTGACATGCTTTGATCGATGTTCAAATTTTATATATTCTGTATACACCGTGTCATAGATATACGACCAGTGACTTTTTAATTTTAATCAATGCTGTTCCACAGCAATATCTCTCAATATTGACAAGTACTCTTACTATACTAGTATGAGACAAAACTATATAATTCAGACTTGATACCTAACGGCGATTATGTCATGCTTGGCTTGTCTCAGTATTTTCGATTTCTTGCGACGCTTTGTGGCATTTAAACATCGCTGGTCCGTAGGTTGAATTAACGGGTGGTGTTTGCTGGCAGAAATAAACATTTGACTGATCCATCATTGCTTCGTAACTCAGCAACGTCGGGGTGAGACGGGTATTATCCAAAAGTATATAGAATTGGTGAAATTGTATACATTGATTGATTGGTATTAATGTACATATATGTGAATAACTCACACTGCTGTTGAAAAAACTCGATCTAATCATGGACATGACGAATAATAGAATATTATTCCTGTGCCCTATGTATGTTCTACATTCTCTGCCAAGATCGTAACCATTCAACAATGGTTGTTATACGCAGAACATGCACATACATTGCTGGTGACGTTGCATGGTAGAACTTAGTTGCACGGGCAAAGGTACTACTAGCATTTCCCTGACTACTTATGTGAGAGGAATGGTTACCTTAGGGGTAGGGGAGTATTAGAGGGCTATATATACATAGGACTGTCAGTGGAGTTAGGCCCACTCTATTATGCATTTATATAAATGATTTCCCAAATTGTTGTCTTCTCATTCTCGCTCATGATTCCAACCTATTCCATTCGTATCCAAACAACGGAAAACATCCGTTCACTCATTGAATTCGGGTTCTTCTTTGGTGTCATGCGAACAAGCTTACTGATAATATTATTACAACTTTATATACGCATTATACACACAGCAATCTTGATGCACGTCATTTTGAATTCTTTTTTTTTGAAAATGGCCGACTGGTGGCCATGCAATAAACCTTTGTTAACCATATTTCATATATTCATGGATGGATTTGGTTCAAATGAAAAAAAAAAACACATCTTGCCTGCTTTACATTTCGAGAGATTGCATGCCCCGTATCACGAGACGTTCGATGTACAGATACATGCACGCAAATATACTCCTTCATTAAAACGACGGGACTGTGTTACGTCAAGACTTGTTAACAATGCATCATAACCAGTCGTGCTAAGCAAAATGTACTAAAAATAATAAAACAATACTGTGAATTATCAATATTGTGTTTTTAATCAGTCCATATTAAACTATCGGCTACATCTGTAATACACACTGTGCCAAATACTTTGAAATACTTTATTTTAGCTGGAATTAATTTTCGCTGAAAAGGCATTTTGGGTGTTTTTTTGTATGGAATTTATTTTCACTAATTTTTGATGAGTTGAATATGAAATATAGGAAAAAAAGTATATTCGCTGGATTTTATTTTCACGGAATCATCCCTTCAGCGAAAATAGCGAAAATAAAATATTCTACAGTATTCTTTGTGTAAACAACGCGTGCGTTTGATAAGAAGCACGGCATGGGATTTTACGTAATCCGCCATTAGCAATTATTTGCCCTTATCTAGTGACACCGAGATAATAGTGATCGATAGGAACTGATGTCAAATAAATTACCAATCAAACGCCCGCAATGACAGCAAATATGAGGCAATAAATACACGCCATTTCAAAAGTTAATTCAACAGGCGAGTGTCGTCTCCATGGCAGTTGCTTATACCACTCATTCGAAAATGAAAACACATAGTAAACATACTGCCATGTTACGTCAAATACTAGTAAACAACAACTGCCGAACAATCAAACGTGCGTACATAGAATAGGGTTGTCTGTCCTCGCCTATAACTAGGTTCCTGTGGTTGGAGTTTCACAATGTTTAATTGCCCGAATACGTATATTTGTAGATTACAAATTCGGTACATAATAGCTATACCACTAGAGGGCGCTAAGTAACAATGTTCCGACAAACAGAACTTGACGATATTTTACCACAGTCCATAAAAAGGGGGTGTTCGTAAACCCACGTGAAAGGGTGTGAATACTATTTACGGCAATGTGATTATCACTTTACTTTCCAATGATCGTTTTACTTTCGTTGTGAATAAACATAACAGTGAATAATACAAAACACGACTAGGAGTATTTCTAGCTCATAACGCTCTGCAGTGACATTTTAAATTTGGAAACACATTTTTGATTGTCTTCGCTAAAATCGATATGTGGTAATAATGAACGCATCAGGTACTGTGTAAATGTCTGTGAAGATTGGACTGACCGTCCTGTTTCAGCAGCGAACGCATCTACGTCAATTATTTAAGCTCAGCAGCATCTCTCTTTACGGGATCGTGATTTTTTTACCTTCATTCGATAAAATCTCAATCACAGTCCCCGGGATAGAGGGACTGTGTCTCAAATGTTATTTATTTCATCTTATTTATTGCAATAAATACAAGCAAAAATAGCTGCTTTGATTTTCGTTGCCATTTGTATCTATGTCAGTACTCCGTAATCGCTCTATAAGTTGTAAGAAACTCGACTTTATCGGAGCTGTTTACTACAGCGAGATATACAAGGAAATACTCCCCATTGTTTAGCAGCAAATAAGTATACAGCGAAAGGCCAGGGACAATTGTATACATATAAATTTTATAAATCAAAGAACATCACACACAATGAATTACTAATGCACACGAGTTTGTTCTGTCATTCGATTCAAACTGGCCTACCGGCGGCCATGTTGGTTTTATTTTCAAGTGTTCCTAATCATTTCTCAGACACAGTTCAACTGATATTAGTATGAACAACACACACGATGTTTTTTTTTTTGCTATTTTACTCAAAATGTCCAACTTGTCTATGTGTGTATTATACAATTTTGTACGAAACGGGAATGATTTTATTTCTAATTGGCGCCACTTTGACTTGACAGAACTTGATAAGGAGCTGTTTAAAGTGACGTAATAGTTTTAACATGCTGATTACCTCCCAGCATTTAATTATAATTTATGTACATCTTTCATTGTGTATAATTGACGAAATCACTAAAACAAATTGAACGGTGACTACGTCATTGACAAGGATTTGTTAAACTCAAATATCTGTGTTTAGCGATAAGATCTGTCATGCGCAGTCTTAGTTTGTTGATAACAATAAACTCGGAATATGTACCAATATTCACGTTTTTATCATTATATGACCAATACGTGTATATGTGCCAGATATTTTAACATTTTAACCAATCCATACGTGACGAATGCTAGTTACAGGTACGATTTTGTAGCTTTATTCAAAGCTGAGCTCAGTGTTTAAAAACAAATATTTTCTTCAACTTATAATACATTGGTAACGCAATTGGTTTAAGTCAACGTTTGACAGTTCTATATGACGCATGCCTCCAATCTAATCACATACTAGTTGTATGTGATTGTTGCTGTTACTATTTGTATCCAAAGATTTACTGTCATAATTCCAGTAGTTTGTGAGCAGAATGGGGCTAAGATCATCAGGAAAAGTGTGCAGCAACTAACAGATAGACAATATGATATGGATTAATACAATTAAGAGTTTGAACATAAGAATTACTATTGGTTTGTTTTGTATACTGTCTGTCTTAGTACTGGGATGAGGAGTTGGCATTGCTAGCTCAGAACTGGTCCAGTGGATGCGTTTTTCAACACCCAACCTTTCCTATTGACTACGGACAGAACCTTGCAACACACTCAGAGTAAGTTTGTTTGTGTAAATACATGTGATTGGTCAATTTGTATGTACAACGACATGCGATTGGTTAATTTGAAATTTGATTTGATTATTCATACCGGCAAATGCTCGCGATTGGACATCATGTATATACATCTGATGCTTTTTTTAATGCTATTTCTTCAGTATAGTGGACGCCATCTACGCTTGGTATAGCGAACACGTATACTACGATTACGAGACGGCAAGTTGTGATCCAGGAAAAGTATGTGGACACTATACACAGGTATGGAAACACGGGTATATTGACACTTATACACAGGTATGACAACA